ACTAAATCGGCAAGAATATTATTAATCATGTTAGCAGTTTCTTTGAAAATTGGTTTCGGTAAAATGGCATAATGTTTAGGATTATTCAGTTGATTCTCTGCTTCTGAAACGTAACCCTCCCTATTCAGAATGACACAACATGAACCTTTGTCACTCTTTTTAATAACAATGCTATCGTCTTTAAGTAAGTTTAACGCTTCACGTTCCACTCGTGTGAGATTAGGCTTTTCGTGTGTTATGGAAAGGTTCACTGTTTGGCTATTCATACTAGCAAATGCTTTCAATATTTCAGGATGGATGGCGGCCCGAGGGAGTGTCCACGTGGATTTAGGAATAAACATTGTTCTAGCACCACGTGGGGGGTGGTTTCGAAAAAAATATGTGCAGCTAAGATTTCGTTGAAATCGTTCAATGGATGGTCGGAGATAATTCAAGTTAGCTATCTTTGGTGTGGGAATAAACTTAAGTCCACGGTCTAAGATTGAATGCTGAAGGGGTGTGAGAATTTTGTGGCTCAAGTTAACTACAGTTTGGCCTAGCGGTGGCCTCTCAGTATTTTTATCCCCAGTAATTAGTTTAAAGACTTACTCGATGCTTGAAGCTGGTGTATCCAAAACAAATAAATGCTGTTTGCTGTTTCTGGAGACCAATGAAGATTATCAACTGTTTCGAATTCTTCTTCGTAGGGTGGTAAGATTGTTGCGCTGTTGATACTGGACTCCATCATCATGTTGTTGAGGGTGCTGAGGTTCTGTTGTGCTTTCTTCGAGATTTTATTTGAAATGGGTATACATGTGAAGAGGATCTTGGAGTTAGGGAAGGTTTTGTTGGCTGTGGCGATTAATTTCTGGGCTTGGTTAAAGGAGGTCTTTGGTATCTGATCACGGTTGTTGAGGCCTACATGAAGAATAATGGTAGTAGGTTTGGGATCATGGTCGTATGATTCCAGGATTGACTGTATGTGATGGATTTGGGCACCGGGGTAAGAATGTATTTCGGTGTCTGAACTGGTTTTGGTAATTCGATTCAGGTTAGATGATCCAATTATTAAGGTTGATTTCTTTAGAGCAGGTAGTTTCCATAATCATTTGTCCTTGGTTTGGTGATAATACGGTTTGGTAGCGGATATAATGGTCGTCGACGGTGTGATTGGTACTGGTTTGGTAGTTGTTAGAATTGTAGCATTGGGAACGGACTGGGATCTGGTTCGAGGAGGGGAAGGTCTGGATACACGTCTCGACTTGGATGGAGACTGAGGGGTGGTTTGCTGGTCCAAAAACGCACAGAAGGAAGAAAGGTTGGCGGATCCTGGATCACGTGGTGAAGATTCAGATGGTGTGGAAGGGGAAGACGAGTCTGAAAGTGAAAAGAGAAGGGGTGTGCCCTCTCTACGAGAGCGTTTACCTATGTCTGCTGGACTAGGAGTAGATGAACTTCGGGCTCGTTTAGGGGTTTGGTTCGGCAGCGTGGTAGCTCTAGATGGTGCAGGTGTAGTGTCCATTTCAGTTGGTAGAGATATGGTTACTCTGGTTTTTGTTTCGTTGATTGTGTGGTAGAATTTGGAAATTACAGCTTGAGTTAGACGTTTCCCATAGGAGCGACGGGCCCAGGACAGGGCATGAGAAACGATGCGGTCGACGGCAGGTGATGATAAAGACTTGGTACGAATGGTGGTCAGCTTCTCTTGAAGTGTTTGGTAATGGTCGATCAGGACCTGCGTAACCTTACAGAGCCATGTCCGATTGAGGGATCTAATATTCGCGTCGACAGCTGATGTTTTCATTGCTGGACGGATAAAACTATCCAACTCAGAGACTTTGCGTTTGAAGGTAAACGCTGGTTGGCCTTGCTGTTGAAGGGTAAGGATTGCCAAATGATGGAGGCACTGCAAAACTTGGAAGAACACCTTCACAAAGGGTTCTTCCTCCTTATGAGTGGGGACTGGTTGGCGTCGGTGGGCTGGTAGTCGTTTCTGTTGTTGGTCAGGTCGATGGTTACCTCTTGATTGGTAGGCTGTGTTGTAGGTAGGTCGGCGATGAGGTGGGATATAGCTGGATGGGTTGGTTGGTGGTCGGCGATTGGTAGGTGGTAGAGGTCGATGGAAGACAGGGCCGTTGTAGGGTACGTGATATTGGTTTGGTTGACGATTAGTGTTTCTATTTCTGGCTTCTTGCCAGTGGTTGTTGTAGTTGGGGAGCATAATGAAAATAACTTGGGGTTAGAAGGGAATGTACAGCGGATGTAACAGGAGGAAACTGTATATGCTAGCGTGAAAATGTTGGGATCAAATTATGCAAATAAGTCAAACTGGGTTTGGGGATATATAAAGCAAGATGAAAAATGCAAAAAAATATATATTTAGGTGATAAATAACGCTAACAATGATGTGAAAAATTATAACAAGTAAAACAAAAACTTACGCAATTGACACGAACCGGTTTTCGAAATATTATCCTTTTTCAAGTGTCGAGGAATGGTTTAACATGCTAAAGTGTGAAAAATATTATTAACTTTAGACGGTCTTTGTCCTGTAGTACCTATTTGGCATGCTAAGCGAGGTGTTTTAACTTTAATAATTTTGCTGGGATTGACAATTAAATGTTGTTAATTGGAAAAGTTTTGAGGTGCCGAAATAAAGTAAGACAGAACTAATATATTTTAAAAGTATAACAACTTAGGCTCTCGAGAATCCTTCCTACCAGCAGGTCCTTGACCAAACCTCTTGGATTACCCGTACTTATTTAAAGATCGAGATGAGAACTCACCATTTGTTCGTACAAAACAAATGACGAAATATAAAGAATCAAAGCTCTAAGTTACTGTGCTACAGAACCTCCAGTACACGATGTCAAGATCATTCATGAACAAATTTCAAACCATCGAGTAAAAATTAAAAACCTCAGACATTGGTCTGGATCTGAATCGCGGCACTGAGTGTAAAACTATATAAAGACCTGCATACTAATTATTGGTATTGTGCAGGTCATTAAGACTATCAAGGGGTTGTTTAGCTTATAGGGATTGTAAAGAGGTTTTCTAAAAAGAAAAATGATAGGGCACACTGAAACTCTTACTTTTGTTGCAATTGTAAGATCCTTAGAAAAGCACACTAGAGCCACACGTGGCACAGAGTGGGACTTTGCAAAAGTAGCAAATTGCAAAAGTCTCTGAAAAAAATCAACCTTCTACGATAATTACATCACGCGCAAAAACAGTCTAAAGTTGAGAAGTTTTAATTCTTTGGAAGATTGTTATACCGGAAGTAGACAGACCTCCCAAATGAAAGTATCAGAAGATTGCCAAGGTCAATGACCTTTGGCAATGAAAAGGAGACGGTCAACAAAAGTCAAGGTTACGAGATACAAGTCATCAAAATGTGAAAATAAATACGGCTATAAAACCGGAAGTTAAGATAGGACAGCAACTATAAAAGTATAAATAGATAGCCAATGTGAATGACCTTCGATCCTACAAAAGTCAAGGTCAAACAAGGTCAAGGTCAAAAATTGAAAATTTAGAATTTTCATAACATGTTTCTTTGTTTTGGAACTATAAAGCTGAAACAATCGAACTTCTAAGACAAAGTGGCTCAAAAGATGAGGTAATTGTATGCAAAGTTTCATTTTGAACAAATGTATTCTTTGCGAGTTATGCCTCTTACCAAAAATGTCAATAATGAATAATTTAACCCGGATGTGCCACGCCCACCTCATTTATTTGAGACAAAATTATTGATATTTGAAATGTTATGTTATGTACCAAATTTCAAGCTTCTACATCATACAGGTAAAAAATAAAGGTCAAGAAACGTCAACAAAGGTCAAAATCGAAAAATGAAAATATCCAAATGTTAAAACCCGTTCCTTTTTTGGAACTATAAAGCTGAACCATTTGAGCTGTTAACAAAAACTGGCCAAAAGGATGAGGGAATTGTGAGCAAAGTCCCTTTTTGAACAAACTTATCCTATGCGAGTTATGACCCTGCTCCAAAATGTAAACAATTTGTATTTCAACCCGGATGTGCCACGCCCACCTCAATTTTTTTTGTCATAGGTGAATTGATATTCAAAGTGTTTAGTTGTATTCCAAATATCAAGGTTCTACATCAAATAGATCATAAGATATACATATACCAAGCTCAAAGAGACACAAATATTGTAAAAAAAACGATTGTTATATATTAATGTAAAGTGCATGAGAAGCACATTAGGAAACCGAAAATTAACTCTCTATGGTTATTAGTTCACGTGCTAGAGCAGTCCAAAGTTGAGAATTTGTTTTTTTTTTGACATCTATAAAACCGGAAGTACATGTCGGAGATCAAATATCAAAGTATCAAATGATAGTCAAGGTCAATGACCTTTGACCCTATAAAGGTCAAGTTCATCAAAGGTCAAGGTCACGTGGTGTGATCGTTCAAAGCTTGAAAAAATTTAAACCGGAAGTTGCAAAAAAGGCAAAATCGAAATTCAAAATTCGGCTCTCAACGTTTTTTTCGCAATCGATTGCAGAATACATTCACATCAAATTTGAGCATATCAACATTTACCCTGAGGCCCCATTTTGAGTTTTACGAAAAGCACACTAGAGCCACACGTGGCACAGAGTGGGACTATATTATTTACTTTAGTGATGTCTTTTTGCATTTTAAATTGATCGAAAAAAATGAGCGACAAATTTTAGAATTTCGTAATTTTGCAACTGCTATCAGATCAGAAATTACAGACAAATTCTAAAAATTAAAGTCCACAGAAAATCGACGCAGAAATGCGCCTTCTAGAGCCGACTTTCAACTTTTTGCACACGCTGAACTGTGGCACTTCCGGTTTTGCAATTGAAGGAACACGTTGCCACTACAGAAGGTCTAGAGCAGTTGAATTGTTGGTGCAACTATTAAGAAGGGATATTTCGATAACACTTCGATAAAACCTCTTTACAATTTAAAAAAGATAGCTTTTCAGACTATATAATCTTTTATTGAATGATTGAACACTGCCCAATTACATATACAACAATACAATAATTCTGATATTTCCCACAGAATATACAGCAATGGAATGGTTCTGATACTTCCAACAAAATATACAGCAATGGAATGGTTCTGATACTTCCCACAAAATATACAGCGATGGAATGGTTCTGATACTTCCACACAGAATATACAGCAATGGAATGGTTCTGATACTTCCCACAAAATATACAGCAATGGAATGGTTCTGATACTTCCCACAAAATATACAGCAATGGAATGGTTCTGATACTTCCACACAGAATATACAGCAATGGAATGGTTCTGATACTTCCCACAGAATATACAGCAATGGAATGGTTTTGATACTTCCACACAGAATATACAGCAATGGAATGGTTCTGATACTTCCCACAAAATATACAGCAATGGAATGGTTCTGATATTTCCTACAAAATATACAGCAATGGAATGGTTCTGATACTTCCCACAGAATATACAGCAATGGAATGGTTCTGATACTTCCCACAGAATATACAGCAATGGAATGGTTTTGATACTTCCCACAGAATATACAGCAATGGAATGGTTCTGATACTTCCCACAAAATATACAGCGATGGAATGGTTCTGATACATCCCACAGAATATACAGCGATGGAATGGTTCTGATACTTCCCACAGAATATACAGCAATGGAATGGTTCTGATACATCCCACAGAATATACAGCGATGGAATGGTTCTGATACTTCCCAAAAAATATACAGCAATGGAATGGTTCTGATACTTCCCACAGAATATACAGCAATGGAATGGTTCTGATACTTCCCACAAAATATACAGCGATGGAATGGTTCTGATACATCCCACAGAATATACAGCGATGGAATGGTTCTGATACTTCCCACAGAATATACAGCAATGGAATGGTTCTGATACATCCCACAGAATATACAGCGATGGAATGGTTCTGATACTTCCCACAGAATATACAGCAATGGAATGGTTCTGATACTTCCCACAAAATATACAGCGATGGAATGGTTCTGATACTTCCCACAAAATATACAGCAATGGAATGGTTCTGATACTTCCCACAAAATATACAGCGATGGAATGGTTCTGATACACCCCACAGAATATACAGCGATGGAATGGTTCTGATACTTCCCACAGAATATACAGCAATGGAATGGTTCTGATACATGCCACAGAATATACAGCAATGGAATGGTTCTGATACATCCCACAGAATATACAGCGATGGAATGGTTCTGATACATCCCACAGAATGTACAGCGATGGAATGGTTCTGATACATCCCACAGAATATACAGCGATGGAATGGTTCTGATACATCCCACAGAATATACAGCGATGGAATGGTTCTGATACATCCCACAGAATATACAGCGATGGAATGGTTCTGATACTTCCCACAGAATACCAATGGTTAATTTCAAAATGACTTTAAAGATTATAGATAATAAATTTCATAAAAGAAATATTGTACAAAATGTTCATGTTAGTCTAAGTAAGGTGATACGTGGAATAGGCCTAGTTATCACTCACTATTTTGGTGTCCGCGTTATCTATAACCAAAACTTTTTCGTCAACAAGAGGTGCGCATTATATATGGGTAAAAGGATTTTTCCAGATGGGGTAAGAAAAGGGTGCGCATTATACACACTTGCGCATAATATTATAAATATACAATATACAGCAATTCAACAGTTTTGACACTTCCCACAACATATACACCCATATAATGGTTCTGATAAACTTCCCACAAAATATACAGCCATAGAATGGTTCTGATAAACTTCCCACAAAATATACAGCCATAGAATGGTTCTGATAAACTTCCCACAAAATATACAGCCATGTAATGGTTCTGATAACGTGATATTCAAACCATCGATTGTAAGTTAATATTTTTCTGGAACAGGAGAGGTCTGTTCTTCAAGATGACACAGTTTCTGGTTTTTAAATTTACAGCATGCTTCTAAAATCCATTGACGATATTTCTTCATAGAAACCAAGTAGATGATTGGATCGACTAAAAATCCTAACATTAGCATGTATTTGGCTATTAAGATGACAGTTGTATTAATGGTCACACCAAGTAAATATAGCACCATTACTACCTGAAAATATATTACAATACAACATTCTTCAAATATTCAGTATTTAATAATGGTTTTCCGTAGCAAAAGCCCCACATACATTTTGAACCGCAAGAATCTTGACCAAAACACGTTTACCTAAAATCCCTCATAGGTGATTTGGATTTAAAAATATCATAATTGTCATCCCTGAACACTTTTCTCTAACAATAATGATTCGAAAAAAACCGTACAAGCAAGATTCTCCTGTCAATCAAAAAGAAAGGCAAATTCGAGGGTAAAATTTGTGTAGTATTGGACTCCTAATAAGAAAAAGAGTAGGCTAAGCATGTTTTAATGACAATCTGCTTTTCAAAGTGCATGTATGCTATTAATTTGAAAAACAAATGCACAAGTAACAAGATTGATTGACACGACTTGACCCATATTTGCACAGTTTAGTTTACGTTTAGTTGTCCACTCTCTTCAAACAGTCTTTAGAAAAACAGTTTATCTGCCTTCCGTAACCTATAAAGATATGACTGGTTCCAGAGAAACAAAATCTTATAAATTCTAGAATCAAAGCGCATTGCTTTGTAGCCCCTTCACACAGGAAAGGCGTCCTCATTGCGCTGCTTGTCTTTTTTTCGCAAATGGTCACAGTAGCATCAATATAATTATAATAGTGTACTAACCCCCAGTGGAACCCAAAATAAACAGTAACTGAAACATAATACCAAACACAGTTTTGTCATTTGGAACTCTGCAGGAAAAAAATTCTTCTGGTTTTTTAGACCATTAATATTTGGATGAATAGCCCGGTTCATGATGCTTATTAGTCTCAGCACGACACAATTCCATATTAAGGTCAAGAAATGAAAAAATAGCCCCATTGTCCCTATGGCTATAGTAACTGTTTTCATTGACGCTGATGGTATAAGTAGCATAACAATGCATTCTGTGGATTTTTCAATATTTGCACGAATATCATTTAAACCCAGAGTCGGAATAAGGACAGAAATAGGCATAAATATAACAATCAGAAAACACACAAAAGGATATAAGATAAGTCGATGACAGTTTCTATGGTACCAGAATGGAGCTCCAAGGGAAACGGCTCTTTCCAGTGCCAACAAATTCGTCACTAAACAATGCATTAA